TATTTGAACTAATTATTATTGCCTCATTGCTATTATATATGTATTTTAAGTAATTTTAAAGGCTATTGTTCACTTACATCTATTTTTATTACCACAAAAATGTTTTATTATAATTATAGGGCCCTATGAAATCCGTTTTATTTCCAAATTCAGTTTTTTTTTTTCCATTTTCATTTTTCTATACTCTGTTTTAATGGTTAAAATAAATTTTATTAATCAAAAAGCCTAATTAATTGAGTTTTACAGTTTTATCTTTACCAAATTCTGTTTTCCATTATTTTCTGGATTCAATTTTAATGGTTCCATTAAATTTTAATCATCAAAAGCATCTCTTACATTTTTCTCCTAAATAAATTCTGGTAAATAACATTTCTGGTAAATAATCCTTTAAAAAGTGTTTTTTGATTATAATTTTATTATTAGTAGTAGACTAGAACACGTGGATATGTTGTCATTCTCTTACACTATAATACTGAACTTTGATTTCAGTGATTTGGAATATGAGATGGACACTTGCTTCTTGCACTCTGTTGCACTTTACTTTTCATAGATTTCATTTGGTTTAATAAAATATAGTTTAATAAAATATTCTTAAGTAAAACTGTTGATTTTTTGTGGGAAATTAATAGTTTAGATTAATCGATTAATCGAAATAAAAATAGTCGTTAGTGGCAGCCCTAGTGTGGATGCTAGTGCTGGATTAACAATATCGATTTGTCATTTTTAATCAATATGGATTCTTAAATCGCAAGATCAATCTTTTATTCTGTGCTGTTTTCTGTTGATGCGTGAACCTAACGAAATATTATTGTCGCACCTGCCATCTAATAATTGAAATAAGTTTTGTGCTTTGTCACTTTTAATATGAAACAATGTCTCGGCTTTTTCCTTATGTGCAATTTAAATGTTTGTACAACTCAGTTTTTATTTGAGTGTTGATTATTAAACAACATTTATTTTCAGTTTCGGTTTTCGGCATCCTGATTTTTCGTTTCAGTTTCGGCCCAGTACATAGCTAGTTTTCATCTGTTGTTCTCCTTGTTTCAGCCCTGGGCGAACTGGCGGCTCCTTTGATAATGAAATTATAATGATGAACCATGTCTATAAGGAGCGTTTTCCAAAGGTATGTAGTGCCAACTGATTATTGGCAGTTTTTCCTCTACAAATCTGAGATGCCTAATGTTCTCTCTGCTGTGCAGGCCACCGCTCAGATGGAGGAGCGTTTGCTGGAAGTCAACAGGCAGTTTTCCCCAGACAGCACTCTACCGCTGGGAGACGGTGTCCTGGGATTTATCCAGCACCAGTTGGTGGAGTTGGCCAGGGACTGTCTGGATAAATCCCAGAAGGGCCTGATCACATCCCTGTACTTCATAGAGCTGCAGGATAAACTGGAAAAAATGCTGCATGAGGTGAGGCAGGAATTTCTAAGAAGTTTCTTGTTCAATGAATCCAGAAAATTGTTTGGGTATGAGACTAATTGTTGATGCTGGAGACGTGGTCTGCACATGCTTTGATATATGGCACCTGCATACGGGCGACCCATGTACAGAAAGACTAAAAACTAAAAAATATTATGGCGACACAGTAGCTAGATTCACCTGATAGGTATTTTGGATTGACAGCCATATTTACTAACTATTGTGAATTTCATATTAGTTACATATCATGGACAGGGGCATTCACATGGGATAAGTGAAGCCTGTGATTGTACTCGAATTTACTGACTTCTCCCGGATATGAATGTTCCTTACCACATGCTGCTATACATGTCATCCATCTTCATTTAATCGTTCTTTTTGTTTTCGCTCTTCTGATGGTTTTCAGCTTTCGCTTTCTGCAAATTGTATAGTTGAATGGTGTATAAGCGACAGGGGCGGTTCTAGAACTTTTTAGGTGGGCTTCAGCCCCCCTAAAACTATCTGAACGATCGGGCCAGTGCTGCTTCCTCAAAGTTTATCATTCTCACGTGTTTTAAGGCTTGTCAGTTTAAACATTTAAGTGATTTTAATTTTAAGTGACAAGACGGCACGAAGAGATCTCAATGCGGTACTCGCGCGCTGTCATAGATCGTCTCTGTGCGGAATACCATATGGCTTTTGACATCATTTACTTATTTTTTTCAATGTATTTGTCTACCTCATGACTTTGATTTGGCAGGCAAATGTATATATAAAGAATAACAATGAATATTATTTATATATATATAATATTCATTGTTATTTCAGTTGTATCTGTTTTTAATTGATCAATTAAAAACATACTCATCACAGAACAAAGAGGTATTTTTAGGTTGTATGCATGAATTGCATTTCTTATATTTTTTTGGAATAAATTAATAGATCCAAGCAAAAAAAGGGTCATATTATTGATCCGCATATAAACTGAGCTCGTTCTTAAAATTTGTAGATGACTGCTAAAAGTTTTAGATAGATAGTCGTACGGCTGTGTGATGAATCACATTTTAATCTTGATTTCTGCTTCTCTCGATTTTAAGCATAATTGTGTTTAATAATCGTGATTCTATTTTTCAGCAAAATAATCGTGATTAACTGTTTAACCAATATCGTGCAGTCCTAGTCAATCGGATATAGAATGCAATTTTTAGTGAAAAACCTTTAAGCCAGAAATCGCTAGTCAAGTTCACAAATAAGTACAAATAAATGGTAACACATTCAATTAAAAGCATTTTAGACTTTTAGAATTATCTAGGAAAACATACTCTTACTCTCCGATCTTTGTTTTATTTGCAACTTCGATTTACAACTTCTAATATCTATGCGCCACAAGTTTGAATCCAGTTTGACTTTGGTCAACTAGTCTTTTTCATGACCGCATGATGAACAACTGTTTTCAGGCTATATTCTGTTGCTTTAGCCAGTGTCAGCTTGGTAACGCTGTCCTTTTCTGATTATGCCAAAGCCAGCAGGTGGTCTGAGATGGTGGTTGTGGTTTGGCAGGAATGTTAGGCTGAAGGCGGCATCAGGGCATGGCTGGGTTCTGTGACTGCTGCTGTTAGTGTGCTGCTGCTGCTGGCTTTAAGGGGCCAGAAACATCACGTATTCTCAACAGAAACTGTGACCATTTCCCCTAATGAGTGTGAAATCCGCCTCATTCCCCAAGGTGTTTTTACTCTATAAATACTTTCTGATTTTTTATTTTTTACACCCAGCAAAAAAAGATCATCCACAAACTGAGTTAGCTACATGCACGTACATTTGCATACATACGAGCGTTTTCGTGTAATTGCACGTGTCGTTTTGTGTATAAATGTGTGCATACCCTGCAGCAGAGGTTTTGATTAGAAATATAGATCTCCCCGTTGAAGCTCCATGCTCATCTTTGCAACTACAGGGTGTTAGTTTCCATAGCAACCCTTACGCCCACCCTGTATGTAGTGTTCAGACAACCCCAGGCAAGACTCAGCGCTGTCAGATCGCTGCTGTGTGCTGGATGTCGTGCTCATAGATAAGGCTATTAAAGTGTTTCCCACTTGCCTTAGTCAGCGGTGCCAAGCGCGGGGCCCCAGATGCTGCAGTCATGCCGCAGTTTAGCTGTTCTAACTGTTCAATCATCAACCTGTTGTGATTGATAGTCAAATCCTGCGGTTTTGTGTGGATTTGTGGTTACATCAGTCTACTCTGCGCTGTTCCTCTGTCATTCTCTGCTCCCTTCTGGGATCTCATAGTCTTTGCTGATTTATTTTCACTGGCGTTATGGAAAAAAAAAAAGAGACACAGATAAGGCATATATCAGTGTACAAGTAATATTTTATTATTACATTCAGAAGTAATGTAAAATATTGGTAAATAAAACAAAAAAATATAAACTCAAAAATCCTTTAAATTTAACGAAATTCAGAACAAACTAAAGTAGTTTGTTCTGAATTTCGTTAAATTTAAAGGAAATTAGTGGCATTCATTATAAACATTATAATGCCAAGACTAAATTTAAAGTTTTTAAACTTGGGCTCAGGTACCTCTCTTTCAACACAAATCGAAATTTTTTGCGTAGTGCTGGGCGGTATACCGGTTCATACCGAATACCGGTGTTTATTTTTATGATATGAATTTTTAAAATACCGCAATCGCTTAAACAACGTTCGGAACGCAACACTGTTGCACTGTCGTGAGGGAACAGCTGTATGTTACTAAGCGAATATACTGCAGTATTTCCTCTCTCAATCAGTAGAAAATATGGTTAACACCCGGTCATGCATGAAAAAAAAATACCGTCATATACCGTGAAACCGGTATAATTTTGAAAAATACTGTGATATAAATTTTTGGTCATACCGCCCAGCACTAGTTTTGCGTGCTTGACGTTAATTATGTAATAAGTCACTTTGAAATATAAGTCGCAGCACACTTCAGATGATGGAAATGTTTTGTATTTCAGAAAATTAGGAAAATATTCAGAAAATATTTATTTTTCAATATTGTGCAGCATCTGTTTTAACTTCAACTTTTCATTGGTTAAAAAAAAAACTTGTCAAAGTTAAAGGGGGCAGTAAGCGATTTTTGAGAAATGCTATTGAAAGTGGATGGGACCGAGCACCAAAACACACTTGTAGCCAATCACCAGGAAGGGGCTTGTCCAGTTGTGATGGGGTAGGTGACTGTTTTGCATAGCATGCTTGTGAATTTGGAGGTGGAGCTATCAAGATAGGGTTGTGATCCTTTTGGGGAGGAGAGTGTTTGTTTTGGTGATTTCAAATATCAACAGCCTTTCTCAGAAATCGCTTGCTGCACCTTTAATACAACTCTTTTTTTTTTTTTTTTTTAAGGGTTAGTTCACCCAAAAATGAAAATTCTGTCGTTAATTACTCACCCTCATGTTGTTCCAAACCC